CCTCTCCCCTTGATGCCTTTTCCCGTCCTGATGCACGACGGGAGTTCGTTTTTGCGGAACCCTTCTGATTTTATCGCTCCGAAGTGATCCGACCCCCCCCCACGGGACTTCGCGACGACAGTTTGACTCCGGTGTAACCTCTGGCACGAAACGAGAGCCTCCCTTTCCGTCCGGAAGACTCAACCCCTACGGCCAAAAATCCTCGTCCACGCCCCTCCTAGAACTCTGATCGGCGACCCAGTATGGGAAGTTGCGAGGGGGCGTGAGGTTGGTATCTGAGCTGATTCGTTTCGGCTCCGAGGTTTTCCTAGGACAACTACCCTGTTTAAGAGTTTTTCCTTTTTGATCTTTTTATTAGATTTTTTGCATTTTTGAGTAGGCTGGCTCCCCGTCGACGGCGGCCCGCGAATAGCAATCAGAACCCAGCAAGAGGCCGGGCTCGAGGTCCGCCTCCCGCGATGGTTGAACCTGGAATTGGAGTCGGTAACGACGACGATAACCACGCGGGGATGGCCAATCATCCCCTGTATTTTGTGCCTCCTCCCTCCGAGGTTCCCATTTTTTCCGAAGATGATACCGACCCTCGCACATGGCTAGCTGCCTTGAAATCCCATGGCTGGTCGGACCAGCTGCTCCGAGAACGAATTCCCGGAAGGTTAGCCGGAACCGCTTTTGAGTGGTATGGACAGAACCCTTTCACTAATTGGTTAACCTTCCAGAGGAAATTTCTCGACAGATTTGATCACATCGCACCAGGCCAATGCCTCCGTCTAATAAAGGAATATACGCAGCAGCCTCGGGAGACCTTGGCTAGATATGCTGAACGCTTTACGTACCTAGCCGAACGCTCCGGGGTGGACGAGAAAATGGTACGGACTGATTTCGTCAGAGGATTGTCAGATTCTCGTCTGCGAAAAAAGATCCGCAAGAAATGCAACCCTATAGAACATACCCTGACGGAGCTAATTCAGTACGCAATTAAGTACGGGAAAGAAAATTACGATGTGGGCCTGGACTCAGAATCCGACAAAGACGACCCTTTGGGTGTTCGACGCAATAGCTACTCCGCTACGGCATGAATGTTCGAAGATCGCTTCGGGTTGGGTCCGACAAAAAAAGGCTCGGATCGGAAAGCTTCTTCCTCTGCTTCGACCTCCCGTCGCTCTAGTCAAGCTCAAGGAGACCGGGGCGAGGAAGAAGTGTCCATGAAAAAGGTCGCGGCCTAATTAGTTACGGTAGTGGCCCCATTGATGGAGTTTGTTCACGGTCTGCAGCGGCAACGCATAGCCGCCGCACAACGGCAACAAGCGGCTATGGCTGCCGGGGGCCCTATGATAAGACCGGCCGTGGCCGGGGCTGTCCTGCCCCTACGCTGTTATAACTGTAATCAGCCAGGCCACCTTGCGAAAGATTGTCCGAAACCTCGAACTCAGAGTGGGTCCGCTGGGCCCACCGGACCTTCCCAAATCCCGTTGGCTGCTCCAACCGCTGCAGGACAGGAGAGGGTAGCCATGGTAATGGACACGGGAACGACGGAGATGGTGACCCCTGCGGCCACTGAGATAGGACCCGATGAGTATATGGCGGCAACGATGTTCGAACCCAGGACCATTGGAGTGATACGTCACGTCCAACGGATTACTGAGGAAAGCGACCTCGGGCCGTGGCGACCAGGGTTCGAAGATCTTGCGGCATCTGGTCCTGAATACAAGGATGGCCATATCGACGTATTGGATGCCGTGAAGGCTCTGGATCTACGGATCCCCATCCCCATTCCCTATCTGCTAACCATTTCCGAAGCGGCTAATGAAAAGTTGATTGAACGATGCCTCAAAAACAGGCGCAGATTCGAGGAAAGTCAAAAGGGCAAAAAGTCGGTCCTACGAGACCCACCCACAAACGAGGAGTCACAGCCCTCGACCTCAAAGGTGCACGAAGCCAACCGGATAGGAATGATCCAGACCGTAGACTCCGCCTCGAAACCCGAGGTATTCCTCCGAGCCTATCCTATAACCTGGAAAAGCGTTGAGTGTGACTGCGAGGTCTGGGGAAACCCCTCGGCCGCCATCCTAAACTTGGGATCGTCAGTGGTCGCCATTTCTTGGAGATTGACGGAACGATTGGGAAGGGAAGAACAGGTTCAGCCCCTCCGACCGGATGAGCTGTATATATCCGCTACGGAAGACAACATTAATTGTAAAGGGCGGATAACGAACGTGCCTATACGGGTGGGGCGGGTGCATTGTTTATGCGACGCAATCGTGCTGGATGTACAGGCGTATGATGTTCTGCTAGGCATTCCATGGCAGGCGGCGGTTGGAGCGCGAATGCACTTTGACAGCTGTAAGGTGGTGCTCACATCGGCCCACCCCAAACCACAAACAATACCAATGAGATTGGCGGTGCGTATGCGCACCCAACCGGCGCCTCGAATCACCACGAAAGACCACCAAATCAACATGATCCGACGCCTGTCACCAGGCGAAAATGAAACCTCGTCGGAAACTGACGAGACTAACGTTCCCGACCGATATCCGATCCGGGTTCAGGATCGGTGGCGCCATTCCTGGCGACGAGAACCCCTGGAAATATTTCGGAGCGAGTCCGATTGGTCGCACACATTCTCCTCAGTGGTGCAAGGGGAACCCCTGGTGAGGGTGTCGCGAATAACTGACCTTTCGGAACCCCCTGCGTCCTTATATCTTAGAACGGACCCCCTGCCCGAAAGGTTTACGGAGCTCAGGGGGTTGTGTGACTTAACTTTTCGGCCTCCCAGGCCCCTGCTTACGAACACAAAAGTCGCCCTGCTCTTGAAGGAAGGGGTGTCATTTCAACCCCGGACGAGGGAATATCGATGGAGGCCGAAGGAACTGATGCAGGCCTTCTCGGTGGAACCCTCGGCAAAAACCGAGCTCGAGAACGACAGTGACATGGAAAATGAACCGATAAGCCCCGCAGACAGTCAGCTTATCGCGACTGTGCTTTCGGCAAAAACCGACAACTCTCTGTTTGGTGCCTCACCCGAAGCTAACGCAGCAGTCCCTATGGTTACGTCGACGATCTCCCTCCCTGAGGGAAACGTGGACGTCCGGCTGCCGGCCCATGTGCCTGACGACTATAAACGCCTTGTTTTGGCAGTTGTACGGACCTACCCGGAGGCCGTCAGTATCCAGGACCACGATATAGGACTTACCCACCTGATCCAACATGCAATTGATACCGGTGATCGCGCTCCGATACATTGCCAACCGTACCATTATTCCCTAAAGGAAAGACAACTGGCCTTGGAAAGGGTACGGGAGTTCGAGCGGTTAGGGTGGGTTGAACCATCGCTGGGACCATGGTCATTTCCCGTGGTCCTCGTGCCAAAACGAAACGGTTCAGTCCGAGTGTGTATTAACTACCGCAAATTAAACGCTATTACTACTAAAGATGTCTACCCGCTACCGCGGATTGACGACCTGCTGGATGCTATCGGGTCCGCTCGGGTCTTTTCAAAGTGCGATATCCGACACGGTTTTCACCACGTCGCAGTCCGACCGGAAGATCGGCCCAAAACCGTTTTTGTCCTGTTCGAGGGTACGTGGCAGTGGATCCGGTGTCCCATGGGAATTTGTAACGCCCCCGCAACATTCTAGCGGGCCATGAACATGGCCTTCGCCGAGTTCGTTAACAAAACCCGTTTGACACAACCGTTGATAAATTTTTGTGTGATTGTGTACATGGATGACATTTTGGTCTTTTCCAAAACCTACGAGTACCATGTGGAACATGTCGAATGGGTGTTGCATGCGTTGAAAGATGCAGGGTTCAAAGTGGCTCTGGAGAAAAGCGAGTTTTTTTTGTCCAAAATTTCCTTTTGGGGCTACATCGTCACGGACGAGGGACTGGAACCGGATCCCAGGAAGGTAGCAGCGGTTCGAGAGGCCCCGGCCCCGGTCACGCTCACCCAGGTTCGAGCCTTCCTAGGGCTGGCCTCTTATTATCGACGCTTCATTCGGAGCTTTGCCTGCCTCGCCAAGCCGCTGACGAACCTGCTGAAGAAGGAGGAGCAGCTGATCTGGACACCTGTGTTGGCGCGCCCCGATCCGACACGACAGTTTGCGCTGCATACCGACGGGCAGCCGCAGGCGATATCGGCGGTGCTGACTCAGCAAGGATCGGATGGAAGGGAGCATGTCATCGAGTATGCGTCGAAAACACTGAGCCAGGCGCAGTCAAACTACGAGGCGTGCAAGGGTGAATGCTTGGCGGTGGTGTGGGGAGTTCAGCACTTTCGACCGTATCTGTACGGCCAGAAGTTCGTGCTCGTAACAGATCATCAGCCATTGCTATCGTTGTGGAACAACACAGACTACACGGGGACCTTGGGAAGGTGGGCGGTGAGATTGCAGGACAACGACTTCGACATCCGCCACCGTGCCACCCGGCAGCACGGGAATGCCGATGGTTTGACGCGCCTCCAGCCGCCGAGCAAGAGTCCCGCGAACGAGAAGCACATCCCGTGGAAGCCGATTTCGCCTTCGACGGAGCCCGGCTACGGGGAGGTGAATGTCCTCCGCAAGGGTACTGCAATCGGAGATGGCGATCTCCCATGAGGAAGCCGACACCCCCTCCCCCCTTCCCTATTCTTCAACCCCCTCTCGTGACCCTGACTCCCCTCCGAGCACGCCTTCCCAAATCTGTTTTTTCTGCACCTTGCCTATGATACCGATAGGGGGAGATCCTCCTCTCGAGGGGCCTAGCTTTCTTCCCTGGGTACAATGTAGTCAATGTCATATCGTTCGGTCCCATGGGAGTTGTGCCCGGTATCGGAACGAAAGAAGTTGGAGCTGTCCCAACTGTCGAACGGACCACGTACCTACGAAAAAATGGTATGTAGAAGCTAGAACGGCAGACGGATTTTTGCCAAGCGTTCGCCGAGAGGAAGTCTGGAAGGATCTCTTGCTATTACGGAGACTGACAAGCGATCCGCTGACGGAACTTACCAAGGCTGAACGTCGACGTGTCAAGGAACGGGCGCACAATTACCGTTGGCAGGGATCGGTCCTTCAAAAACGAAAAGACGATGATGTCGACGGATCTAGTTGGCTGACGGTTCCACACCCACAGACCAGGTTCGATTGGACACGAGCCGCCCACGAGGAGGATGCGGTCCACTTTGCAGTCAAATACACGGAAAAAGCAATAGAGAAAAACGGATGGTACTGGTCAGGAATCCGGGAATATGTGAAATACATCGTCCGGACTTGCCCGGCCTGCGCGGCCGATAAAGCGCCGATACAGATGCCTCGTACAATAGTGCCTACCCGGGTAGAGCGCCCCTTTCAATGGTCAGTATCGATACGACGGACATCAACGTGTCGAGAGGATCGAAGCGTATCCAATGACCAGCCGGAACTCGCAGGAAGTAGCCTGGTACATTAATCGCTTTTTGTGCATGCACCTGGACGTAGAAGAGATACATATGGACAATGGGTCCGAGTTCTAGGGGGAAGTAGAGCGACATCTTGTAAGGGCAGACGTTAGAATTTCATACTCCCCAGGGCACTGGCCTCAAGCCAACGGGCTCGTAGAGAATGCCAACCGAATGATCAAAACTGCACTTAGACGGAATATCACGGCAGGTGATACCAGACCCTGGCCTGTCATAGTCGATCACATTCTGGCCGTCTATTGGGCTACTCTCCACGGGAGCACCGGGGTGTCCCTGTTCCAACTGAGAACCAATAGCGTCCCCAGAGTGCAGTTGTCACCTCTAGTGGGTACGGAAGTTAGAGTGACCCGGGCCCAGCACAAGGACAAGGCCCAGCATTATCTGGATCTGAAGGCCCGGACCTATCCCGCGTTAGCCTGAAGACGACAAAGGGCTGTAGATCTGACGCATCAACGGCAGATCCGGGACTATGAGAACCGACACGCGACAGCGGGGCCAATGCCCCGTTATAAAATCGGGGACTTGGTGCAGGTACGGAAATCTGCGCGCTCCTCCAAGATCCACCCACGCTATACCGGCATTTACGAATTGACGGAGGTTGGCGCACGAGGACAGCACTCCGTGAAGCTGGTCCCCCGGCATAGCACGCAGGCCAGGTCGCTTACGCGACACGTGGCAGCTCTTCGGCTGTTTCGGCCATCTCCGGCCCGCGAATCGGCTCTTGCCCGGTCCGAGCCTTCGTTCTATCTCTCCCCCTCTCCTTCTTCGTCTTCATCCTCTTCCAGATCTGCCTCGTCCCTTGGTGCTGAGAGTTTCAAGGAGCAGGATGAACCATCGCCAGCCGGAGCATGAGCCCCTCGAGCATTTCCAGACGCCGCTTGCAGATCGCTTGTTGCGGCACCAGTTCAATGAGGAAAGGCAGTTGTGATACGACATTCAGCAAGCGAACTTGCCAGCGCCCGGGGTTGCCGATCTGCCAGCATACTCGCTACTTTGTGATCGGTTGACGTATGCAGGGGTGTACGTGGACATGACGCAGTTGCCTGGGCGGGAGACAACTCGGGTGTTCATCGAGTTCCGCGCGCTCCAGGTAGCACCCAACTTTGTGCATAGCGTCGCCACCTTTATCGGCGACTTGACGATCCTGCCACCGCCGAGTTGGGAGCTGGCGCGGAGTTTTGTGCGCGAGTACGTGGTGCAGGCGGCCAGATCAGTGGCCAGGGTGCAAGGACGGGGGGGACACCGATTCACAGCCCACGAAACGCTGCTGCGCAGGGCAGAGGACGGACCGATCACGTTGGTGCCGCAGCTCCCCGTGCTTCTTCCTCCCGCTGCCCCTCTCAACATCCAAGCTATCCCCCCTGCCCCGTACTAAATGCCTCCCTTCTTCTCTTACACCACTCTCCCCTATCAGCTCACGGAGGACCCTTATCCTATGCGCGAGTTCTCGAAGTATTTGGTGGAGCTAACTGACGTGGAACCGCTGCCCTTTGCAGACGAAGACGTGTGGGAGTTGCACCGTGCGCTGTACCAGTCGGTGGCGTTGGGGATGTTCCGATTCTTCGTGGATCACGAAGACCACTGTATCGGGGAGCACTTCGTCGTCTACTACATCATCATGCGGCCCAAGCCAGCGTAGAAGGAGGGGACGGTGGCGCTGTACCCATTCGCCCAGCTCCAGATGATCGATCCGGGATTGTTGGAGCTCATACATCTTGAGCTCCTATCCATTGCGCAAGTGATCGCGAGCAAGGAAGAGGAGATCCAGCCACGATTGCGGACGACGGCTGCCCCGCGGAGAACGTACAACGCGGTCGTCATCTCGGATTACATTGCGCAGCGCGCGGAGAGGTTGGAGGACTTCCCGGAGGAAAAGCCATTGCGGCCTCCCTCGTCAAATCCCAGACCGGCGCCGCCAAAGGCCCCCAAGAAGATGCCGAAGAGGAAGAGACGCCACCCGTCGCCAGGAGCGCAAGGCAGCAGGATCGGTGGCGGCGAGGAGGTGGTTCAGCCTGTGCACACACGGGATCTTGACCCGGTGCCCGGGAGTGCGGCGACGCGGGTTAAGGAGACCATCGTGCCATCACCGCCCTTCCCGCGCGTGCCCGATCTCAATCTCGATGGAGCCGGGCCATCAACCGCAGCAGCCGGAGGAGGGAGCCGAGTGGGATTACTGGATCCCGTACCCGGATCCCCCGTCCTCGCGGGACCTTTCCGCTTCCGCCCGCCACCCCTGACTGCCCCGATCATTGACATTAGTAGTTACTCCGAGCCGGACGGTCCATCCGACAGAGGTGGACTTCATGGTGGAGCCCACCACCATCAGACTCGAGGCCATCGCGGGGGCGCCGCGCCCTGATCCGGCGTGGGAGCCATATCTGACACCCCCTTTTCAAGGGTGTATTGCGGCGCGACTGGCGGGGACACTCATCTATGAGACCAATCAGCGTCCCAATGTGGTGTATCACTTCCTTATGTTCGCGGCGCAGAAGCGGGAGCAGCGGCCCTACACCGAGACTCATATGGTGATGACGGGGCCCGGACCCCGGTCGGTGCGCAAGCGAGTGGTGCGAGCGGTGGCGGATCTGGCGCCACGTGTCCTGTCTCATGTGCCGGGGGCCTTCCTCTATCCCTCGTTCGTCCAGCACCACTTCCATGAGGAAGACGCGCCGACGACTCTCGCGGCAATGGCCGCGCCCCCTCTCAATCCCGACATCGATCACGTCCTCTGATCACCTTCGTCTACCTCTCCCCTCCTCTCTCTCTCTCCTTCTCTTCATCGTCTTCTTCTCCTACAACCGAAGTTCGCGCGTCGAGACGCGCTGTATATGTGTACAAAAAAAATAAAAATAAAAAAAATTCCGTGGACTACTTACCGATCGGGCCAGCTGACGATGAAGAGGCCGCCCGATCGAATGTATACAAAGAAGGAGATAGCTGACGATGCAAAATGCATCAAAGTAGAATAGGAGATGCTCGGGCCAGCTGACGATGAAGAGGCCGCCCGAGCATCCAAAATATGATGACATCAGCAGTCGGGAGACTGCTAATTTTTCGGAACCCCCTGCGTATCATAGATGTGATAAACTCAGATCCGTACCACGCGGCTTGCCACATCCCTGAGGAAAAATCCCTCGGGAGCCCCGGAGTACGGATGCGAACAGGAAGGGGTTTTTCTTTCTTTTTGCTTTTTGCTTTTCTTTTTGAAACGGCTTTTACATTTCTTTTTCTTTCCGGCTAAATAATTCACGTGCGGGCGAATAGCGGCCGCGGTATGAAAACCAAGAAACGGTTTCGGTTGGGACTTTTTGAATTTTTGCGCGCACACGCCTACGCTCTAATTTCTTCGCACGTCTCGCACCCCCGTTTCTTGCTTTGCATCCCCGCGCCATCTTCCTCTCTTGCTGCGCGCGTTGCCCTCAGGCCGGACTCTTCGTCTTCCCCTACGCCCAGCTTGATCCTTACCCCGTCTTCTTCCGCGAAGTGATTGGCTGCGTAGTTGGGATGCTCGGATCAATGTGGAGAGCGGGAAACCGCGCACCACTTGAACGAACACCCCAATCACGTAGGACCATGCAACCCCGCGGGTCAAACCCTCTGACTCCCCACCTTTCTTCTGTCCTGCTCATCTACACCCTGCGCTGCCCGCACCTCGCGCTGACAACCCGCCGCCTCCCGCGCTATAAATTCGCGCAACCCTCTCCTCTCCCTCTCTTTGATCTCGGCTGCAATGTTGCGCGAGCTATGCGCAAAAGTTCGCGGCGCCGAACAGGCTCGAGGAGCCCAAGGACGGGCGGAGTGACGACGTGGGGTGGACCCGCGGTAGTCTAGGGGCGAAGCAGTCAGAGGGACTGAGCAGTGGTGGGGATTGGACGCCGGTCGCGGCAGGGCCTTGTGGCTATGGTGGTCGGTGGTCTTGGGAGGTTTGAAGGCTGCGCCTGGGGGCGGCAACTAATTGAGAATTTTTGTGTACAAGAAGGACTCGCTTTTAACTCCATTGCTGCTTTGTCTATGCATGTTGTGTGTGTGAAGCCCCGAGTGATGGGAGCTGGTTGTGCGCATGAGTGAGGTCGAAGGTCTATGGATGATTAGATGTCCTGTCAAGGGTTGTTGATTGCGTGCATGTATGTGTGTATGTACTTGTTCGGGCGGGGACGGGGGAACTGAATTGGGGGACCGTTTGCTCCGCGGCCTTTCCTACGCACACGCGCAGTATCGGTGTAAATCACTCTCTCTCTATCGCCTTTCTTTTTGGAACTGATAGTCATCGCTTTTGAACTTCTCGTCCCTGTCCCGGTGACATCAACCGCCTGCGTCCGCGCGGACGGTCGACGCCCCCGCAAGGGGAAGAGAGCTTAGATTTCGTCTTCTTCCCCTGACGCACCCACTTTTGAGAGAGAAGAGTTGCGTCGAGTGTTGTATGGAGTCGGTGTTGGTTCGGATGACCGGGAGCGTGGGATCTTGCCCGTGCTCATCGCGCACCTCCGATCGTCTCCTCTCGCTACCAACCTTCCCCATTGCAGATGACGACAGCGTCTGCTGCGATGCGGACGTACGGCGCGCGCTGAGACGGACGGAGCAAGTGTGTTGGCGAGACCCGCCTCGGGCATGTACTATAAGGGGGAACGGGTTTCTCTTGATTGATCGCTTTGATTCCCCGACTCTGATATTGCCTTATACAGGTTTGACGGTGTTGCCCTGGTCGGCCGCTCACGCCGCGTGACGGCCGCAGTTTGATTGTCGCTGGTGTCGCCAGGGGGACTCGTGTTCTTGGCGACGCTTGGTCGTGGGTTACGAGGGAGCGAAGCGTTTTCCCGAGCTCTCCCGTAATGCGGGGGCGCTGCCCACGCAATTTCGAATTCGGATGCCGGCGAGTCCTCCCGC